CTTGTTATCCTGCCTAAACCTAACTCGCCATCTGAACCGCTCGTAATCGCTCAGGAGATGGGTCTCGTTCTGAATGTGATGGGAATCGTTTCTCAGAAGTCGACTGGTGTCGACCTGGTGCGAAAGGTCACTGCCGCGGAACTAGTTATGACCATCTCTGGATCTACTGGCCCTACATCCTCGTTCACTGGCGAGGATTCTTCGTTGTCAGACTTCCAGCAGACACAGCGACGCGTCGTTCCCATACAGCGCGAATACTTCCATACTGAGTTCTGTCTCACGTTTCCTCGGCCAGCACAGCTGCCAGAGCCAGGGTCACAGACCTCTGTGGGTGGCAGTCGGTCCAGTACCGCCTCGAACTCGGAACTCTATCGTGTCTTTCTGGAAGCCTTTCTGCTGGATGCCAACGGTCTGCGTTGGCGTTTGTGTGGCACATCTTCTGCGGCCGGCGTTGAGGAGAGCATCCTCGTGCGTGTTGAGCCGCGCAGTAGTGCTCCATCGGTTGATTTTACCCAACCAATATCCTCTCAGAACGCTGCCCTACTGAAATTTGAATTTGTCGCAGAATCGAAAACCAAAGTCTCATGTGTTATCTGATGAGCTGCTCCATCATTAATTTTATTGTATTTAGAATGGCGGCTTGACCAACCCCCTTCCCCTCTTTTGTATTCCAAGCTATGTAGATTACTAATCGCTTTTGAAATGCGTATACAGCCTCAAATTTCCTTTAAATACACTTTGTTGCAAATTTGCCCTAATGTGTGACACCTTGTCCGGTTATTCCCATGGTTATCCAAAGCCTCGTTTGGGTTCTCGTCTTTATGCCCCCCATCTGATACCAGGGGTACCGGAAAGTAATGCCGTTTTGATTTCTTGATCTAGATGTCTTTATGTGCGCTCAATCTAAGGTAGGCTTCTTTTAAATCAGAACTCGCTTTTTGGATATTGATACGAAGTTTTTCATATTCGGCCTAACAAAATGTGGGACATCAAATTCAAAAGCAGTTCTGTTCGTCAGCATATGCTGCTTGAATTTGTCAAGGAAAACAACACAGCAGCTGCCATCAAAATAATTTGTGGTGTTAATCCAAACGTGTTAGATGTCCGAAAGTGACCCTTTGTGGGTTAGTAGCGAAATTCCGATCGGGCGATGTCGAACTCTCCGATGTCCATTGCCCGGAACGCTCAATGGGTATGGATAATGACCTTTTGCGTGCATTGATTGAAGTAGCTCCTCGTCACCTCACAGAGCAATTATCAGGAAAGCTAAATACGTCGCAGTCTACCATTCAGGTGTGTGGTTAGATCACTTAAACTAGTATGAGGTTTGAGCCTCTCTTAATAATCCAATATTAGCCACGGGCGCAAAAAGTAGACAAGGATTTTTGGTCCCGCGCCAATTTTCGACAGAAAAAAGCTTAACGTTCCCTAATTTTTAAATGTTTTGCTGAACATCCGGTATAGCGAAATATTTCTTCACCGAATTGCCACTGGGACTGAGAAAGCGATTCTTCAGGCTACAAACACAAACACCAATGGTTTTTCATAGGTCAGACACCAGTTCCTATGTCGAAATCAGGCTCGTGCCGTAATCAGTTTTTGATACTGTCTGATGGAGTATGGTAGACACATATAAATTCCAAAAAATAATTCCCCCTAAGCTAGGAAAATGAAGTCAAGCCGTGTCAACAGACCTCTGTTTTCGATTATTAGAATGTTTAAATCATGGTCTTGCCGTCAAATCAATGACGCCAATCAATAAGAAGGGTGTCCTGTCCCATGACAACACGATACCGCTTTCGTTTCGCCAGGCCCAGAACAATATCGCAGATTTCGACCTGGGACCTTTAACCTCTCCAATCTAATCACTTGATTGTGCGCCACCTAAATATAGTTTGCTCAGTCCTCTGTGCGGCAAAACTTTCCGCAATACCGATGATGTCAGACGTGGACTCTCGGAATTCTCCACATCAGAACGAAGAGGGTATTATGACTTTAGTTTTCAGCTCGGTAGCCACCATTAATATCGATAGCGACTAGATAACTGATTAAGAATAAAACTTTTAAAACGAATATTTTATTGAAATTTCTTTTCCATTGCAACCATTGTTCGGTTGCACGATGGAGGACATTTTCATCTGTCAGTCCCAGTGCTGCAAACGACCAGTGAAGTAGCAACTGCGATGCACAGTGCCCTCGCGGTGTTATTCGCAGTCTTCTCGAGACAGTTGTTGTTGTGTCTGCACGCGCGATTACAGGATCCTGGGACCTGTCCTTTGTTGCCTGCATCCAGTCAGGATATGGCACACTTAGTGGCTTCGAGCTTTCGCGAGTCTAAGGCCA